ACATTACTCAGAACGGGCATTTTTATTTCTACGTACGTTTATTATATATTAAGTTTGAAACACGTAAACATCAACGGAAATTACGCACATTAAACAATAAATAAATTAAAATAAAATACAATATTTGGTACACAAAATGACGGTGAAATTTTTAATAAAATCTACAAAATTCAAGAAATTAAAAATTAGGGTTAATTTATCACAATCAACATAATAAATATATATTTACCTAAGTATTCAAACTACATTCTCTAAGTATTTAAACTCACAAGGAGCACCTCAGGTTTACCCTCTCGGATCATCAAAAACTTTGCATAGTAATATAGTTGATAAGCCAAAAAGACCCCTTGAAATATTATAGGCTTAGGAGAAGTAGTTTAATTTTAAAAATTATGCTATGCGTACTACTATATGTTGCCAGGATGTGTTCCATAATTCATTTAAAAATCAAAATAACATATTTTTATCTATTCCTATTGTTTTCATAAGTAAATATTACACTTCCAATTAGAAATGACTCGGCCAAACGTGTATTCATTTATTCATTATTATAGAGCGCTCAGTTTCTTCTTTGCAATACCGATTGTATTATTATTCATGCATATACAATTGCAGTCTGTGTAAATGTTGGAAAGCGTTTTTAATACTATGTTAAATATTTAAGTCTTCATAACCTAAATTCAATCATATTGTATGCATATCATTAACATATCTGGGAAGCACATTGTTCGAAAATGTAAATTCCAGATGTTCCTTGAATATAACTGTAGTTTAATGATTTTTAATTGATATTTAAACAAACGTAATTGTGATATTATGGTAATGTAGGAAGTAAATGAAGTCCATTACTAATCAAGTTTGTTTGTACCATCAGTCTTTCTCTTCGCATGGTGTGTTATTAATTTTGAAAGCCATAAAACTCGTATTGATTTGAAACATTTTCCCAACGCCAATCTGTTGACAGGTCTTGTACTGTAATAAAAGAAACAACATCCATCTACAATTCATTATATCTAATTTTTTTCTAACAACGGACGTGTCCATGTTTTACGACTTCTATAAATCATGACACGGCGTACAAAAAAAGAAACACGAAGAGCAAAGTTTCTTCGGCATCCCGTCAACTATCAAATGCTAGCAAAATAATAGCACCGAGTTTCATCAGGGGTCATTAAACGAGTTTTACTAGCAAAAGTAACTAATTTAAAACGACCGTATTGCATGCTGGGAGGCTGGAGATGATGTTGCAGCGGAAAATCTAAACCGCGGACGGTCAATGGCGAAACACAAATACACCAGGAACGCTCTTTGTGCGAATGGCCCGAACTAAATTTATACGAAAAACTAGCTCGAAGAGCTGAAAGAGACGTATGTGTGAGGAAACGTAAAAACTTGATACAGATTTGTTACAGTTTATGAATTTTGAAATGTTGATACATATAACCGACATGTGACAAGTGGTTACTAAAACTCGTGAGAGCAAAATACATTGAAGTCATTTTTAACTTCCCGAAGAAAGTTTTTTTAGCAAGGTAAAAAGAGGAGAAGGAGAACTGTTTACACCAAGCTTGGAAAATGTGTGTATGTGCATGTGAGATCCTTTTTGGGATTTTGGACCTTTCGTCGACGTTTTCCCAAAAAGACTTGCACCCCTCCTCTATTTCAACACATTAACAACCCCATGAAGAATCTCTTACACCTAGTTTCTTAATATTCTATTCTTGGAAACCTATTACAAGCAAATCTTATTACAATTATGATAAATTATTCTTGAAATTATCATGTTTTGAGACTTGTATTAACAATTCCCAATGGATATGATCTATATTAACCATTTAACCGTGGCGCACTCATTGAACTGTTCACATATTTTTGATATATCTCCAATGGTCTTAACATAAAAAGTGTTTCTATTCCTTACAAGCGCTATTTTTGCAACTTCTTTGATTAATTTTTTTAATTAAACCACTTCTCATAGGCCTATAATGTTTTATGGGGTTTGTTTTGACTATCAACTCTATCACTATTCGAATTTCAATCAAAATCCCAAAAGAGTAAACCTGAGGTTTTACTTGTAGTGATATCTTTAGAATAGATTAAGATTTAAGATTTTGCATAGATTATTTTATTAAATAAAATAAACAGATGATCATCGGAATCTCATAATAAATTTATGAATATTTTCTTGGCACCAATTTTTAAAGTATTGACTTGGTTTTACCTCCATTAAAGAAAAATTACACGAAAACGAGCAAAAACATGCATTTAATACTCTTTCATTTATGTAATTATGATTTATGTCTGTTCTCTAGTTTTTCTACGGCATTTAGAAATAAATCATCAAAATGTAATAAATCTTTAGACCTACAATTATAATATTAATTTTACAATATAAATTGTATTTTATTTTGTACTTAAATTTATGTATTTCAAATTGCTTATGCTAATATCAGACTGCAAACAATATAATGGTGTTATTTCCTTATGGCTGCATCTGTTTCAAGCATTTTGCAACCAGCTTTTTGATCTTTCTCCACCGAACTATTTATGTATAATACATACGCTTTTATGTATACTAGGAATAAGTTAAATTTAATAAATAATTCTTGGTTGTTCCTTTGACGATAATTTGTTATGTAACTCTAGACATTTGATTAAAAGCATTCCTATTACTTTAGTACATTTATTTTTGTTTCTGTACTCATAAAATCTTAATAAACGCTGGATGGAGATGACCGAAATCGTTGAGGTCTTATTTACAAACTATTTTATATTAAACTATTATTTTTCAAGCGTGCAATTTTGTGCATTCGTCTATCACAAACATTTTTTTTACATCACCGAATATATTTTAGCAGTCTATTACAAAGATTTGTCGGTTTGCCACACGATTTGGTATGATTTTGTGTTACCTTACCTAGAGGAGAACCGGTTATGCAATCGAGTCTTTGATAATACAACATTACATTACATTAACCTGTGCGGCCGGCGAGTTAAAATATCAGGGCTGTGAAATTTTATTTACATTGTTGATAAATAACTTACATAATTTAATACGAAAAGCTTGCTGCGACTTCGTGGAAAAGTCTTTGGTCTTGCGACTATAGGTTACAAGTTTTAGTCCGGTCTCAGACTGCTTGTCATCAAGCAATAGAGAAAATGTATATTGAAATATGATTTTAAGTGAAAGTGGTTTTTTGGGGGAATTGCAGCACATACATATCACAATTAGAAATTCTTTTAATAATTTCATTACAGACAATGACCCAGTGGTTGTCTACTGGATTGCCTCCTAATTATTAACAGACAACCTTGTTTATAAGGAATTATGTACATGCTGATGAAACATTAAAAATAATTTTGATTGCTATTCAAAACATAAAGTAAATTGTAATAATAATCATTTCAAATACGATATATTATATTTGACATAAAAAAGTATCAATAAAAGTAGTGATACAATATTTTGTCGATCAAATTCTCTCCCTTCAGCCCTGTATCTGCGTGTACGATGAAGTTCATACCCGGAACATTTATAGATTTTTTTTCTGGTTTTATAACCGGAATTTACATTACAATTCCACCCACATTTTTCATTTTCAAATACTCTGCTCTGAATTGATACTCTATCGAATTGATTGATCGACGTCCAAGTATCAGGAAACGTGAAATTTGTGCCCGCGTAGGCTTGTTATAGTTAATTTATTTTTATTTTTTTGTAATTGATAGTAAAGGTTGTTAAATATATACCTACAGGTATTTCTTTATCTCAAGTTTGTATTTGTTGACTAGGTTCATGTCTGTTCAGTTCAGATAATATTCAGGATTTTGAACAGGTTTATAATGGAAATTAAATACAACTGCTCTTGTTTGAAATAAAGTTCTCGTGCTGACTTTATTATTATGTTATGAAAGTTTTTGAAATTGAATTTATAAGCTTGATTTTCTGGTTGTAGAAACTAGAATATTTAGTTCAGTGTGGGTAATCTAAATATAATGAACTTTATTTTCTAAATTTGAGGTATAGAAGATAGAAAATAGAGTTCATTACCATCTTGCAAATTAATTCATTATAATCTTAATAAGGTATGAGTGATAAATAATTACCTTCATATTTTTGTATTGTTAAATACACGTTTATATTACATTTTATAGATAGTACTATAATTTGCATTAATTATATAGTCATTAAAATTTTGCAACTATGATTGGTACTAAATAATTTAATTTTACCATGAATCGTTACATAATGATCAATTATTTGTATTGGAGCTAATATATAAGTATCAAATATTTGATCAAAATTTGCGATACATTTATTGTAAAAAATCGCCTTACATTTATGCATTTCGTACAAAATAAATTACAACGTCTATTGGAAATTTTTACTTATAGGTTTAGCTGGGCTGTTTCTTTGTTGATTTTGATGAATCTTTATATAAAAGTAAAATGTTATAGGCCCACGATAAGTAGTTGAATTATAAAAATTAAGCAAAGTTTAGAATATTGCGTTTAAGCCATATATGAACGACTCCTGTTTAGTTGGCAGCTACTGATTATAGTTTACGCCCACCCTCTTATTAAATACTCGTTTAGAACCTGAATTAGATAAAATGAATTGTGTTAAACAAATTAATTTAAAATATACAATTACAGGTATTATAAGTATGTTTGAATGGCGTTAAAGCAATTTTATTTCCTAACTAAATAGTTTGAAGTAATTTTATATAAGGGTGAGTCTATTAATCACGTGAGGCTTAATGGGGGAGGGGGATTTGAATTTATTTATTACCTGAATTTAAAAAAAATCCAAAAATAATTAAAAATATTAGGGCATTTAATGTCATGTTTATAATTATTCTTTTCATTCTCTTTTGTGTCGGAGATGATTAGATTTCTTACAACTACTATATTTATTATGCTTCTATTTCTGCCTAGCACGTAGATGATATGTTCACAGTCCAAGCTTTCGCCAACTAAAATGTTTGCTTTGTTTTCAGGCGCAGCCAAGAAGCGAGATGTCGTCCGGCAAACCTCTACGCCGCCGGCGCTGTCCGAGCACCCGGTTCGGCACACAAAGCAGGCCGCCAGCCCGATGCGGCCGGTCAGGCCGAACAATTTACTCCGTGAGTACTATTAGAAATATAATAGACATATAAAAATGATACTCAATTTTTGAATGAGTCAAAATTTATACCTTGATCAAGATATTCAAAGTTAATTGCTATATTAGCCAACACCCAAGAAGTCCTATATGAGCCCTGTCAGATATATGTGCCTATTCGGTAGAAGAAGACAAAAAGTTTTGATACGACACAAAAAGCTGATTTTTTTTTCAGAAATCGCGCTATTTTATCAACTATTCTATTAATTTTTGTAATTAAACAACTTCTTGTAGGCCTATAATATTTTATGGTGTTTGGCTTCACTATATTCCGTATCATCAAGCAAAGTTTCATCGAAATCCCAAAAGAGTAAACCTGAATTAACGTGGTAAATTTTAATTTTTTTCTAAACTACATATAATATATTGCTACAAAAACGTTTTATCTTGCTAAAAAACGAGTAAATAAAAATTTATATAATATTAGAATTTTCTAAAATGCATATTAAAGTGTGATTCGTAATCGTTAAAAACGTCTTTGACGGACGCGAGTAGGGTAAGTTATTGCAATGGGCCGAAAATCGAAATTGAAAATTTTTACATTTCTCGACGTTTTGAAGGTTTCTGAACATTTTGGCATACCTCAGAAAAAATGGATGTGTGTGTGTTTGTGTGTGTGTGTGTATGTATCGGGCGCACGGATCAACTGATTTGAATGGTTCAAAAATTATTCTGATAGGGAGATGAGCTGATTAGTCTTTGGCAAAGGCAGGTCCAGCAGTTACAGAGATAAAGAGCAAAGAGTGCAGAAAATACAAATCGAGTTTTTGAGAGAACGGAGCATACGATTTGAATGATCTAAAAAATATTCACTTAGTAATGATTGGGAGAAGTGTTTATTAGTTGTCTCAACAAAATAATTGATTTTGGAAAAAAAAAATTTTTTTAAATTTTTTTTTTCAAAAACGATTTTTTTGTATATCGAAAATAATTCAGATTTTATTTTTAATTCTGACTATAGTTCTAATATACTTTAAACAAATAATTTCAACTTTGCAATTCAGTTTATATCATTCTTATAAATATTAGACAATGTTACGATATTTATAATAATCTATTTGAAAACATTCAGTATTCCTCGAACATTTCGTTACGGTACGGGAAGTTCTAGCAATTTGCCTTAAGGCACGATGTCATACACCCCACTACTTGGTAAATAACATTATGACTTAAAAATTAAATCATGGCTACTTAGATCAATTTGTATTTTTATTACACTAATGCAATGTTGACTTTCAATTACATTGTATAATCTATTACATTTTTGACAAGTGCCTTGAAGCGTTTTTTAATTATGTTCTCTCTCACTGCATATATTAACTAATTCATACATGGGTTTACAATTTCTGAAAGGTATGTAAATGAATTTACATGTAAGTAAATCTAGAAGTTTTCACGACTTTTATATAATATATCTAAAGCCATCGTTCTATTATTACCGACGCTATATTTAATTGGTTCGACATGACTAAATTCGAAATATTTGCATTAATTATGATTCGAAACGACTCAATGATAAGATTTTATGCTCTATTTACAGCAAAATTTCCAGTCGGTTGTAATTAATATTATCATTTCATTTTACGTAAGGTTTTAAATATATTAAATATATAAAAATCATGAAAATATAGATAGTGGAAACGTTTTGGGCTTATCCAGATATTTCTTGTCACAACCTGTTGAGTAAAAAGGGTTTCTGCCAAGAAATATTAGCTTGGATCAAAGGATTTATATTACCTGAGTCGTGTTCAAAAATATTATATGAATAGAATACAACCTATTTAACATATCCAATCTCTTTTGTCATTCGGACCACTTTCACTTAATATTGTAGGTGCGTTCTTTGAACTTTCCGATTGTTTTTATTACATGTATAAATAATACCTTATAATATAGAGGCGTTTCAGTTTACAGTAAAAGTCTAGTATTGTGTTGATATCATATTTATGATTACATAAACATGTTACTTTGATTGTATAATTATTTCTGAAGTGCGAAAATTTCCATTTTATTTAAATTTGTGGTTTTATCGTATACGTGGGAATTAATAATAGCTACGAAAAATATATTGATATTTTGCTTTCATATAAAAGATATATTTTTTTGCTTCTTGTAACGATCTAATAAACTATTAACAAGATATTTTCAAAAAATTCCTAGATAAAATTAAATTATTGTGAGTGTAATTAATGTTACACATACCAGCTATATGGTCATATAAAAGCTTTATGTTATTTTACACTTACATTTATTTTAATTTTTTCTGTCTTTCTATTATGACACTATTGATAGGAGTACAAAGTATATATGAAGCTCTTATTAGCTTTAATATTATGTTTCTCTACAAAATCACAAGGAGCATTTTTTTTAGAGACAAGCGGTTTGAGTTTTAAATATTTATTTATACTGCAGTTTTATATAACTTTCACTCTCAACATTTATGTATCTATCGAATTCATTACCATGCCTTATAAAGAAGATCAATTTACCATAGCACTTTATCTGATTTATAACATTTATAACAATATCCATGACAGCAAATGTAACTTTTCGCAACAATATGAAGATATAAATGATAGAGAAGAATGTCATGTATTTCTCATGGTTTTAAACTTATGACGAAATTTGGAATCTAGTAATATTTGTACTGGAATCGTGCTCTAGAGAAGATAGAATGAATTATCACCTTCTTGCTTAAGAAAGTAAAGGCCTCTATTTTAGTTAAAAAATAATTGAAATTTGATGAATGATATTTTTATAGAGTATTTGTAAAAAAAATTAAAAACGAGCATACTCTCTTTTACTACTTCTTTTCTCTCGTCTAATGTGACGATTTCTTTATTTATATAGATGATCATTTTCAAACAAAAAACTTCCTTCTGTTTTGCATGATGCACCAAGTTGTACAAGACAATTCTTCTGTAAACACGCTTATGTTAATAACTGTGTTTATTTATGAATAATAAACGAAAGTTTTAGAAATCAGTTATAAATGTGCATAGTTTTGTGAGCTTAATAGGATATGTGCATGCATGGTGAAGAAATTGGAGATTTTGTCTTTTCCTATTCAGGATCGTATAAGTACAAACATATCTGAGAAAGTTTAGTTTAAAAATCCCATTTTTTTTTTTAAAAAAAACTGGTCCTTATAACCATCCTTTGCATACCAACTAAAAATGAATTAATCCGTCAATTTTGTTAATGGTGCGCCAACCTTAAATTAACTTCTATTAACTCGTGAGAATTTGTTGTTCTCTATAATTATATGTTCATTTGATTAATTAATATCTAAAATACGTGAAATGTTAGTAGTTGTTATATAATTAATTCTCAAAGTGGCACGATTAGATATCTTTTTACGTGACTTGTAATTTTTGTAGGAATCTTATGAAATCACGAGTTCGATTATAAATTATTTTTAAATGTTTAGAAAATTTCACTAAATGTAAAGGTTCATTGGTAAATGATAAATAATAAATATTAATATTTAAAATAAAATATCACTTAAATTATCACTTACATAATTTAATAGGTAATTTATTATTAATATGAACATTCACTAAACATGGCTGTCTTCGTCAATATTTGTAAAGTAAACACCTTTTTGTTAAATAAGTAATAATTGATACTAATGATTAATATATTTGTTATTAATAAAGGACTACATTAAAAATTTAAGTGATTTCATCTATGAGTGAAATCCGCAGTTACTTAGTTGCCAGCCTTTTTGAAGTAAACGATGAATAAATTAAATATGATTTTTTTATTACTTTTATATGAAATTTGATATAGATTTTATTTATCAATTTACAATACAAACATCTACATATTTATTCATTCAAATTAATACCAGTACTTATACCTAAATAGCAGTTTATGAGGTACCTTCCCAAAGGACACTCCTTAATTTTTAATTACTCTAAGTAACCAAAAAAATTAACTATTTTAACTTAACTATAACAAATTGTACATAAATATTATTCTTTTTTTACTGACAACTCGGTAATTATATCCCGTGAAAACAAGTATATAGAATTATAGGCGATAAAAACTTTATACGTGCTTTATACTCGTCTGAAATATTTTTATAGTTTTTACGATCCGCACGGCTTCAATCTTGCTGAACATTAAAATAATTGCTGATTCTTTATGTTAAAATATAGACGAGACTCCCGTGGTAATAAAAAAATACTCCAATTTGAATTGATACAAACATTGAATTAATATGAATCTATGAATTCTATGATTCTATCTCTTCTATCTTCTAGAATGTTTGATTTAATCATATAAAATACCTAAAAAACGTTTTTATTTTTTTATTCGTCTTTGTTCATAGATAAAAGAAGTATGAATAGATGGCAATCTTCAATAAATTGCTTTGCAATTTTCTCAATTTCAAATATTTCCGCACTCCAAAGGGACGCTGTTAACTGTAATACGTAAATTCACTCCTTTACACTCATTCTCAACTAAATCACAAATGTTCCTACAAAAACATGAAAAAAAATTGACCGTTTCAAGTACGTACGTATTATAATAAGATAATCAGTTTTATAAAGCAAACTAAACGAATTTGAGCACGGTGGAGCATCTGTTGAGCGGGAAGAACACTAAAACAGAGTCTACCACATTTTTTCTAGGTTTGTCCCCCATAGCAATGTCGTACTTTTATTTATGAGCTTTTGAAGTTGATTCAGAATAAATAATCTTGAAATACTTTAAATTGTGTACTATTATTTGAAATATTTGCATCGGTGCTTTATGCTTTTTACACCACATGTTCCATATTTTTTCTGGTTACTCAAGACCTGTCCAGGATGCGTCTATTAAAAAAAAGTCCATTGCGAGCTCTGATAGTATTCGCTTCGGCGGTTCGCATTGCTTATATTATCCGAGCAGACCCGCCATATACTTTCTTTAGAAAACCATAGAGCAGATCTCGACTAAATTCGCATATTTATAGGTTTCACACTACTCCGACCTACCGCTCGTTTCTCATAATGCATTTGATTTTATCTCCGTACCTTAATCGGTAATCGTTGATCTGAATAAGGAATTGATCGATCGATAGATCGATTGATCGTTCGATCGATCTAAATTTGCAATAAATGATACCCGGGCGTGTTGGTCGTGCGAAGTTAACTTGATGTTCAGCTTTTGCTTATTTATGTGCCTTATCGGGGTCACCAGTCTAATTCTTCATTCGAAAACTGGTTATAGTAATGATTGTTAAATAAGTTATTAAGCACTTCTATTATTACTTAAATTATAACTTTTCTATTATTTCTACTTTTTGCAACTAATCTCTATTGTTCATCTATTTCATATACCAATGTTATATTACGTTCCATTTGTTCGATCTGAATTCGCATAATAAAATCGTTGATTCTCTATTATAGATTTCACTTTTGGTTCACGTACACCCGCAGGCTTATTATAAAGTTTAATTTTAATTTATCGCCTTACTTTCTTGAAAAGAAACGCATTTCGTGTGCAACGATAATTGAGAATTGCGAATAATTTCATACGCAAGTAATTGTTCGTTTGAATGGAAATAAATTAGAGGTGATGGAATATTAATCTTTAGAGTACATGCATCGATTTTTTTAAATCCATGTTATTTTCTCACTCTTGTAAAACTAAAATATGTGCTTACATTATATTAAGGTAATATTACAATTTCTTGATCTTGTATACCAACATATGTTTATGGTCTTGTATACAATCTACTGAATTAAGAGTATTAATATTTATATTTTATATTTTATGAATCATACATACCAATTTCTAGATCAGGTTTTTGTATCAAGATTACACAATTTTTCTGCTCTATATTCTAACCCCTTGACTAAAAATACAGAAATGACCTATATTCTTGTCAGACATACTATTTTCTGGATAAAAACTATAATATCATTATGGTCAACACAATATTGTTAATTTTCTGGTTACTATTTTGTTTATCAAGAATATAATATTGTTTATTATTTGGTCTATCATGCTATTTTTTGGAATAAGCATACACAATTTTCCAATTATTTGGTGTTTTCTGAATCAGGAATAAAATTTTATTTTTTGATCATGCATACTTTTATATTTTGCTATCTAGAATTACAAATTTTCATCTCTTATTAAAACTGATTACTTAATTTATGATTCTTGGAAAATTTCATTCTTGGAATATTTTTCTCAATGCACTCCTGAAAATCATCGATTTGGCATCTAATATTAATTTGTAACTCTTAGATCCATTAAGTAGATATAGTTTTCTTCAAAGATTATTACCAACATTATAGTTTAATTATTAATCGCTAACAATTAATTAAAACTAATATTATGACTATAAATTAATCTTGAAAAACACTTTATTTTACGTGAAGTTTCATTTACCTTACAATACAAAACCATTTGTACATTTTGTTAAAAGGGTTCAATTTTACGACCAAAATTTGAAATAGATAATATTTCAATTAAATATTTTTTGATCGTGCTAAACTCAACGAAATCGTGTTAAAACAAAATCTCGGTCGACGAAAATTTGTATCCGCACACACACACACCCACACACATCCATAAATATTTAGAAATATTTTCATTTTAGATTTTTTTGCGATTACTATAATTTACCCTACGGGGAGTTAATGTTTTTGCAATTTATAATTTTCACAAAATATTTTTACCATTCCTTTCTTTTCCAGAAAAACGAGGTCTCAGTCCAGCCTCGAACTCCAACGCCGCCGGCAACGTCGGCAACGGCGGCGGGGGTCCTCCGGCCGAGCCGAAAGTGCCAAGAAAAATCATTTCTTCGAAACGACCCGTATCTTCTGCGAAATCTGCACCACTGAAAGGTATGTTTGTTCAACTGTATATTTACTATTTACTATTTAGACACTGAACGTTCAATCGGCTTTGGTAATTTTATCGCCTATTATTACACGGAAGCCGTATTCTCATTTCCTTTAGTTATCCGCGTATTTCATTAATGGAAAATGAAATTACCACCAGCGGAAACAATAGGCAGAACATACAAATAATTTGAAAACGTTGGATCGATTTCTCTGAATCACGAATTAAATTGCATATAAATAAACTCTATGGGAATAGTAATAAAAATTACACACATATCTTTATTAATATTCCCATAAAGTGAGGTGTAAAAATTAATGTATGGAATTTGCGAGTTCAAGAAGTCTTCGGGGGTTTCTAATGTAAATATTTTTTAACCTGAAAATAACGTTATTTTTGCCAGAAAATCCAATTTGCTAATTTTATATTTTCACGACGTTTGGATCATTTTGAGGCGTTCGACACCAAAATTGGGAGAAGTACCTGGGTGTGAGCCAAAGCTTGGCTTTTTGTCGACGTTTTGTCAAAAACTACTTCACCGATTTTAAAAGTTTAAAAACAATTTGATAAGTCAGGGCTATTATCATCCAATGGATTACGTGGATGCTTTCCACATACTAAAATATCTATTATCACCATTGACCTATTATATATCAATTACCAAAATCGCCAAATTCTTCGACCACAATGCATTATTCCGCAAGCTCTCGATAATTTCCTTTCTTGCATTGATAAATTGTACAAAAGTTTCGAATTTTGTAGAAAGTTAGTTGTTCACTATATATGGATATTTTTCGTGTGAATCGTTTTGATTTCACAGTCTAATTATTACTGGACGAGTAATAAGACTTTGCTTTGGTATCAATTAAACGTTATATTATTTAGGTTGTGAAAACGAGAGTCAGGTAGTGTGGTTTATGGGTTATATGCATTTTATTTTTATACACGGTAAATTTTACTTTATACGTCGATTTTTATGCTTTCCGAACGTATAATAATAATTAATCATCTGCGAGAAGTGATACACGAGGAAAAGTATTAAACCGTGGTAATTGATTATGTGTAATTAATGACTTGTTTTTATTAGCAAGTTGGAATTGATAATTATATTTGTAATTATTGGTGTATACAAATTCGTACTGAATATTTGAAAATTGAAGTACCTACTAAGTCATATTATTTTTATTAGATTTTTGTTATAATTTAGTTTGTTTAAAAATGAGTTACAAACAATGAAGTAATGGAAATAAATACATAACTCATAATTAAATTAAATAATACGTTATGTTATATTCCGGTATCTCATAATATTAATTATTATTATTAGTTACATAAAAAATTTACATATTGGCTTTCTCAGAAACTATGATTAACATTTGCGATAAGGCATCTATATTTTTGTAAAAGTTCCTTTATCATAACTAAAATTATTCAACGTTTTATTTTTTTTGAAGTATTATTTTTAATACTTTGGTTTTTTTCATTGTGAAAATTAAAGCATTAAAGCAAATATCTTTATAAAAAACATACATAAATGTTTTAGTTGAAAAACAAAGAGAATAGTGTTAGATATTTGTACCAAGCAGTACTCTGCGTTTATGACGCCATCCATATATAACTAAGATTTTTGATTGATTACTGAAACAATATTTGCATACATAATTGTAGTTGAGCTTTAGCAATAATTTTATCTTCAACAATGTTCATTCCACCTATGACAGAATGCTGTCTTAAGTGCATAACATTTTCTTAAGAATGAAACAGTGTGTACAGGTGAGTAGGCGTTCATGAGAATTTATCATGAGAAAATTAGTTAGTGTCTCTCAATGAACATCTGTTCCCAAGGCGCGTACCGACAACTATTTTCACTTTGGGAGTGGTATAAAAGATTTAGATTGTTTTATAGAAAATAAATGGAATAGATTTATTTTTGTGCACTGTTTATCGTAATAACTCTTTATGATTCTCGACATCACCCATCTAGTGTATCAATTGCAAAAACAAAAACTAAAGATGATTGAAACATAATCATCTAATAAAAATGTCAAGATATAGATTTTTAACCCCCAATAGGGTAAGTTATAGTAATGGGCCGAAAATCGAAAATGTAAATTTTTGCATTTCTTCACGTTTTGAAGGTTACTGAACATTTTGGAATACAAAAGTGTGTGTGCGTGTGTTTGTTTTGTGTGTCCACAGTTTTTCCTCTACGTTTTCGGGCGCTCGAATAATTCTTTATATATTATTATTTGTATCTATATCTTTAAAATATAATTTTTGCGAGTCTAATCCAACGAATAATTGGTAGGGAGTCGTATTGTCTTCAAGTGGTAGGAGAAAGATGGGAAAGTCCGCGATAAAGAAAGTCCCATTCAGTCTGTATGAATTGTTCATAGCGCAATACGTATTAAAAATAACACTTGTCTATAGTTTATAATTTTGGCAAGTCATGAAAAATGTAATACTTGATAGACTTTCATTTGTTGAAAAGATTGACGCCTAGCAACAGAAACGTTTAATGGATTGTTTATGAGCATTTTGTTTTAAGTAAATATTTTTGTGTACTTGTGGTGATAATGTTGTGTTCAGTGATCAAAGTTTGAAGTTCCATTATAATTTTTTACAATGGGTCTTCACAACCGTTTAGTCTCCTTATTCGGTAGCACGACTGATATTAATAATAATCATAATGGAAACTCTGCTAAAAAGAAGTTTTCCAAAAAGAAAGACTATGGTAGTGAAATGGACTTGTACGCAAAAACCGGTGTTAAAGTGCGTAAAAGTTGCACCATTTGGAACTCCATGAGGTCAACCCATAAGAAAAAGGGGATAAAGGTCAGTTTTATATGAAAAAAATTTTGGATAATGCATTTAGTGGCAGAATTTTGTGATTTCTAGAGTTTGCTTTGGAGAATAACGATAAAAATAGGAATAGGCAATCTATTTGATAAAATTAGTAATACATACGACGAGGGAAACAATATTTACCCTAAAATGTCCTGGTGGCTTCGATTTATTATTTTATTACAAAATCTGATGATCACATATAACATTTCATAATAAACGTTAAATAATTAGATCCAAATTCAAATCTTTTACTTTATGGACTCATAATATTCCTTTTAATTTCATTTTTTGTCAGGTGCATATCAGAAAAGCAGTTATACTGATAGACTTTAAAATATTAGTAGGTAATCATTTTATGGTAGTTTTGAAATCTCCCATTTATATTATATAAATTTATTTGGAATAGTTAGCAAATTTGTTTTCAAAAGTAATACTTGAATATCTTTGACTTTAATAATAATAATAACCAATGGCTTCTTGAGCAGATTTTTAATACGCCTGAACTATATGGTACTGAACAATTTCTAATGAGAATTTTTCAACATATAAATATCATTCTCATTACTTCCATTTGCTTATTTTAAAAAAAAATGTTTTACCTTTTATTTTTTTTTAAATTTGTTAACCACTTACTTATGTGCGCCGCATTTTTTTTTACTTGTAAGTAGACAACAATTTTTGAAATTATATCTTTAAATAATATCCATCAATCATTCGTGCCATTAATTATATATTTATATGACTACAAAATACATTTATTTTACACATCTATCAAAGAAGAAAATGGTACTACTTACCTCTTACATGACCTCAAAAAATTTTTTTGGATGACCCCAACACATCAATTTATAATACTAATAATATGCATATCCAACACCTCATTTATTAATAGCAAATAACATATTAGTATCATAATATAATTTATTAATTATATTTATTGGGTCACTTGAACTGTTAATGACATTTTGATAAATGGAGATACTTCATTATATATATTATAAAACTGTCTAATTACCTGCAAGGTAATTTCCATTAATAGTTATTTTAATTATTTGCAAATTTAATAACGGAATATGTTTTGGTTTGATAAAATTATTTATACCTCAAAGAAACTAGATTTCCCAAAATCTAGACTCCCTCGACAAAAATATTGCTACTAATTTAAAATTATTACCAAAGAAAGCAAATAATGCTCAAAAATGTTTCTTTTTCGTTAATTTTTTACAACATTTGTCATTCCAAATAGTTAATGATAACTTTTACCTCGTTAAAGAGATGGAACATTGTAATTAAATTCAAATTGTGTAAGAAATCTATAAAAAAACTCATAAAATTTTGCTTACCTAAAGTTCCCATGTCAACTTTTGAAGAACACATATGCATTGTTCAACGTGGAAAAAGAAATTATATAAATTTTCTTTCACATTTTATTTATCTGAACATAATTTTTCACTTTTATAAAAATAAAATTACATGTTTGTAGCACAGAAGTAGAACAAATTAGAAAATAGTAGGAACTTATTCATATTTAAATTAATGGTAAGTTTTTTCACCTTATGGGTTGAT